TGTTATGTTATGTTATGTTATGTTATGTTATGTTATGTTATATATTTCCCATTATCATATTGACATCACTTTTTGCCAGGGTCACGCTGCTGCATGCTTCTTTCATTTTCGTATTTCATATATATTTTTATTTATTTATTCGAATCTCCTATTATTGTATTTTTTTCTTTTCTTTTTATAATTTCCCATTGTTGTACTGACATCACTAACTCCACACTGAGCATCCTGTTGGTTTATTTTTCAGGATCCCGCTGTAAAGGAGACAAGTCTGTGTTCTGTCGGATGGAGGTTCTCAGTACGTACTGCTCCAATCCGGGCTACAGGCAGATGTGCTGCAAGTCCTGCAACGAGGGCAACTACACCACTGAATTCAACCTGACGAGACCCTGGATGTACACCATTGTCGCCCCTCCCATAACTCCCACCGCAACGGCTCCTGTTCTCACAACACAGCTGTACAGAACTTCACAGAAGCCTGGCACAACAATCACGGCATCATTCAGCAGATCGAGAAACATCAGCACTGAGCCCACATCTTGGGGCTACACATCCACTGTGAACCCAATAACCCTAAAACCAGGAACCACAGTCCCTTTCACCATTGGTTCTGTCACTGTGCACACTAAGCATCCCAGCACACTCGACTACGAAGAGGAAACCAGCACCCCCTTCTACGAGGACGAAACCTGGAGCGATATCTCAACCGAACACTTCTCAGAATCTGAATCATCAGAGTTTGTAGAGCCTTGGCCAACCACTCCACAATATACAAGCACACTTGAGAATAAAAACATCGGGACAACGTTTGTGACAATGCTACAGCCTAATGTTACTGCAACAAACCCTCCTGCCATAATCAGTCTCCATCGGTCAGAAGACAAGAAGGAGAATAACTCCATCGACATGTCCTACAGGATTGCCAGTCCAAACGAAGTCGCACTCAACCACTTTGTCCCCAGAAAGCGAGTGTCGTTCCGTGAGAAAACGCATAATAAAAGAATTCAAGAGCTCCTTGCAGAGAAAAGACAACAAGACTTCCTGCTTCAAAGACTGAAACGAAAACCAGGAGACTGATACATTTCCTTTATCCCTGTGGTATTTTGTGAGTATATTTTTAAGTGGTTTTACGGCCTCTACACTCTTGGCATTTGCAATATTTTTACAGGAAATAACCTCAGATCTCAATCTTTCATGTAGTATCTGTTCAAGGCATCTGATCGGAAAGAAACATTTTTTTTTTTGAGGATGACATTTTCCTAGGGGTTTACCACATTCGGCTATTTTATTGGGGTGAATACAGGGGCGTAAGAAGCTGTCTGTAGTGAAGGTCTGACAGTTTAAGCTTAAGCCAGGCACATACAGTACGATTGTTCTAGTCCTCTACAATTGTTGTACATGATCCCAATGAGATCTTGGGTAAAAGAGTCATGGCACACTGTGTGATGTTAGCAGTCAGACTGTACGATACACATCCAGGATTTTGGTCCCAGTGGTGCTGTTGACAGCATATACGAGTGGTCACCGCACAGCTGCAACAAAATTTCACCGCCAGAACTTCATTGGAGGCTGAGAATCGTTGTGAAGCGAAGAAATCATCTGATGGTGAATACACTTCATGCAAAAACCACATTTTGTGCTACAGAAATTGTATGATCCCGAAATTTGTCTCAGATGGCAAAATCGTAAAGTGTGAACCTGACTTAAAGCAAGATTTTTCAGATGTTTTTCTGTTTGAATGCACTCAAATGAAAGCTTGTTGAATGAAAAGATCCATGAATCATATATATATATATATATATTATTTTTATTTTATTTTTTTATTTTTTTTACACATTTTGTCATATTTCTTTAACCTGTGAGGAAAAAGTCATCACCTTTAAAGGTTTATTGACCCTTCTGAAAACAAAATTAAATCACCTGGTTTGCTGATCATTGACTGGTGAGGACCAGCTAAACCAGCTGAATATCATCTTGACCACACTGGAAGACCAGCTAGACCAACTTAAACTAGACCTGCTAAAAAGCTGGTTTAATGTGTTTTTTTTTTCATCAACAGAATGATTTTTCAACATTTGGTTTATCTTGTCCAAACTTTTCAAGTTAACTTGCTTTAAATCTTCATTGCATTACCGTATATATATCAAGCTAACTCCCAAGCCCATGGATCCTGTGAGAAGTTGCAGTCACATTAGCCAAAATTCAGCTAATATAGTGTAGCGATGTATGAAGCACAGGTCACACAGAGAAGTCACTTTCAAACCAAGCAGCTTTCTGTTGATCAGTGTGGTGAATCCGTGTGTCCAGCTTAGGAAATGGGGAAATTTCACCACAACACGGAATTCCAGATTGCGTTGATTCCTATTGAAATGACTGGATTTCACCTGTGAAAATTTGCAGAACAATGGTATTTGACTGCATCTTAAATGTGACTGCACCTCAACTCTACATATTACGAACCTTATGTTGAAAAATCGTGTTCAGAAATATTCTGCTAAATGAACAAATGTAAATCAGCTATATACAGCATAATGGAATGTAAACTACTTCTAGCTTGAGCAGTATGCTGAATAAACAGCAGGCAAATATGTCGCAATGTTTACATGGGAAAAAACACGTTTGGACGCAAGTGTGAACGACCTAATAGGACAAGGGTGCTCAATCCTGTTCCTGGAGAGCTACCTGTCTGCAGAGTTCAGATCCAACCCTGATTCAACACCTGTCTGTAATTATCAAGTGCCTCTGAAGATCTTAATTAGCTGGTTCATTTGTGTTTGATCAGGGTTGGAGCTGAACTTTGCAGGAGGGTAGATCTTCAGGAACAGGATTGGGCACCCCTGCACTAGGATGATTGCTGTGGGATTGCTGACATTTTGGAACAAAATATTAATTCTGTAACCACATGACTATTTCTTGCAAAAAAACTTAGCTGGCTTCTATCTTAATAAATGCACAGATTTGAATCCCTTCGTAAAAGTTGTAAATATGAACAAGAATTTATTTTTTGTATTTATTGAAGTACATGTGTTTTCTTCCACAGCCATTTTGTGTTTATCAGACCACTTTGTGCTTATTGTGCATGCGGCATGAGTAACAATCCTACACGTATCCAAGAGTCAATACTATGATATCTCCTCCGCATTCCAAGCACTGTACTTGAGAAATCAGTGTATTTTAAAAATGCAGTGCACGTCTGCATTCTTCGTTTATGACTGTCTACATTCTTGATTCAAGGGGTACAAGTGGACGTCTACATTCTTGATTCATCACATTCTTCACTTAATAAAGCTGCAAATTAACTAACAGTGTTGGTCTTATTCCAGCTATTTAAAAAAAAAAAAAGGTTTGGAGAAGTGGTTTTAAGTAGAAACCAACTGATGGCCACAAGATGGCAGTGCTTCTCTATCAGTTTTTTTTTTTCGGTCTGATGTGAGTATTTATCTTAATCTCTCAACGTTTCACCTTCCTGGAGTATTTGTCTCAATGTACTTACTGCTTAAACTGCCATTAAGATGGTCACATACAGATTAGTTTTGTTTGTAGAACAACAGTTTAACTAAATATATATATATATATATATATATATATATATATATTGAGCCGCTGTATAGTTGCAGATGGCAGTTTAGTGTCATTTTGTTGTAACTACATTGTTTTTACTAATGTTTTCCTACTATTGGGTGGTGAAGGTCTCAAAGTTGCTGTTTTCCGATTAAAGCAACCTTGTGTCTTTAGACAAATTAAATGATGAAGGCCTGGCAAAAATAGCTTGCCTATTTTGTGCTGCAAAGTCAACATGACTATCAAAGTTTCAGTGCTGCTGGCTATAATACACGTTAGATTTTTTATAATAGGCACATGCTTTTATAATTCATTTGGTCAAATTTGTACATACACTACATATATCACAATAATAGCAGCATAGCCTACTGAAGTTAAATAATAGGACTAGGCAGTTAACCACTGAAATATTGTATCATTTTATAACCATAATGCAGCCAACATTGTGATTCTTACAGATTAGAAATGTGTGTAATAAACTGACCTTGTAATTGTGCACATAACGTAGGGGGCATCTTAAAAAATGTCCTTTACCAGAGCTGCCCCGTGGCATATGTTTACATATGTCAATTTCCTCATAGCTTTTATATCAGATGACTGTCTTATCTATGTGGAAAACACAAACAGGACCAAAATAAACCTTATCTGCATATAAAAGATAAAAACTGAGGTCTCTAGCAAACACTAAACTGGACATATAAAAATGTTTTTCATTTATAAAGCTCTAAAAACCGTACTGACTGATGTTTTATTGCATTTCCTGCAAATATGGAAAAAATAAAGGGTCTCAATTAAATATGTGCAGTGTCACATGGTTAGTGCGAATAGTCACATGACCAGAGCAGTTTAATTCTGCTTTGCACCATGAGATGATGATGGCTGCATCAACGCTCCAAAACGAAAGGCTAGTAAAGTATGTTAACATAAAGATATGACAAAGATTTTTGGACCACAGTATCTTTAAGGTGTCTAGTATTAATATATTAATTCACATATATTCAGTTTTGTTGAGTGTGGTCATAGAATGAGTAAATACGTTGATGGTCACAATAGTGACCGGTGGGATAACAGTGAATTTAGGTATACAATATAAATCCAATTGCAGTTGTTAGTGAAGGCTGCACTAAAATGTTGCAATGACAAGATATTACACTAAATTAAAAGTTAAAATGTTACAAATAAGTTACAATATTGATGTTGTAATACTGGTAGCACTAATATAAAAATGTGATCATATATTTTACAATAAAGTAACAATTTTGAAATACGTTGATGGTTGTTCTTTTTTTCTTCTATCTCAGTATTCTTAACAGTGTTGTATAAAGTTTTTTTACGCATAATAGTAACCTTGAATGTTATCAAACAGTATAAAATAGCTGGGCAATTTTTATGACTGCAGAAATAGGCCTATGTTAATTCAGTGTACACTTTATCCCACCGGTCACAATTGTGACCGACCATAAAATAACATTTCAAAAAATAACTTGATTATTTCAAAGGGTTACTAATGACACATCATTTGGATATTTTCATGTCTGGGAAAAATTTGGGATTAAACAAAATTTAAGGATAAAATCACAGCGGCTTCCTTCAGAGTATGCATGGCTCATAACAGTTATAAATATAAACAAAAATGATTAAAAATGGTTAAAGAGCACACTATTTACATGTTTTAAATTGTAGCTTGTTAATTAAGTACATCATTTTGTATGGATCCTCCTTATCTGCATATAGAACATCAACAGGAATATTCTGACGTGCTTCCAACTCCCATACAGTATATACAGAACATTTACAACAAACAAATCCATTCATGTCATTCAATCAATATTTCATGCCTATATTTCTTACCACAGAAAGCAGCACTGAAACTTTAATGGTCACTCCATTGCGTGTCCTGCTCTGTTGAAGTTGACTTTGTCTTAAAATTTCCTGAATAATTCAACAGATAAAAACCTTGGAGGCCTTATTCTATCTCCCTTCGACCAACGCACACTTCTGCACTTCTGGTGGCGTTTTATATAACCGCATTGTGTAAGAGTTACTTAAAATGAACCCTGAATACAACTGGCAAACTAATGGTGTTTTTTAGGGCAAATTGCTATCTGTGCTCATGTGAAGTAACATGCTGTTGTGTAATTTTACTGTTTGTGTGTCATGTTAGCTTTGAAATGCTGTGACCAAATCCCATTAGATCTCTTTTAAGATGTGTTAGAAGCTGTCTGCAACACAAAGAATTAGATTTTGGATATTTGCATGTTAAAATTAGATTATTAAATCAACGTGCCAACCTCAAAATCTAACAAAATGACTTTTAAAATGTACAAATTGTCAACAAATTGGGGCACATTTTCTTTTATTGCATGAAGAAGGTGACTCCATTATGAAGGTGACTCCTAACATCTCTGAGACATCCTGGAGTCATTTCTTCACTAACAGGAATGGACAGACTTCACCCTCAGCCAGGCCATGCAAGTTGTAGATGAGTTTGTTTCTTCAGCAGAACAGATTTGGAGAAATTTAGCATAACATTACTTGCTTACCAACTGATCCTCTGCAGTGAATGGGTGGCGTCAGAATGAGAGTCCAAACGGCTCATAAAAACATCATAATAATCCACAAGTAGTCAACACGACCTCGATAGCCTGCAGGCAAGGACATTTTCAGGAAATTTTCATTTCGGGGTAAACTATTTCTTTAATGTTATCGAAAGGCCACTGGAATATGAAACTGCAGATCCTGTTCTTTAGTGTCAAGTGATAAAATAAATCTAAGCTTGATTTAGTGGCATTCTCTTTGTAAGTTTTTTGGTGCTCCCAAATTATTGACATGCATCTAATATATGTGCTAAAAGTTCACACATTAACTATGAACATGTTCAGAATGTTCAAATACTTTGTCTTAATTTAAATTGTATAATTATAATTTAAAACCTAAACCTTTTTTGTGAAATGTTGTCCAAGGTGGAGTCACAGTATGTCACTATGCAGTGTTTACTAATAACAATACTCTTCATAAATTCATACTTCTTATTTTGCTAAATTTCCATTTTTGTTCTCAGTAGCGGTACCATATTCACATTTTTGTGCTAATCAAGTTCATTTTAATGTGAAAAGTTCTTTAATTAAAATGAATGCTATAGGGAGAGGTACTGTGGCATCATCTAATGATTTTTGCGCTTTAAGGTGATGTCAGATGTGAATGTTCAGTATTTGAGTTCTGGTTACAATGTTATCACTTTAATTATCTCTGATAGTCATGGGAATATATTACATATTTACATATTACATAAGCTAAGACCTGCAAAGTTCAGTGCTCTAAATGAGTTCCTAACTGAAACTGCCATGATTATTAAATGGATAATCTGAGTTAGGTAGTTTCTGTAAATAAATAAATCTTAAGAAGATTTTAAGAAGAAAGAGTTTAAAGGGGTCATATGATGCTATTTAAATTTTTCCTTTCTCTTTGGAGTGTTACAAGCTCTTGGTGCATAAAGAAGATCTGTAAAGTTGCAAAGACTAAAGTCTCAAATCCAAAGAAATATTCTTTATAAAAGTTAAGAGTCTACCTCGCGTACCTAAAACGGCTCGTTCTAACACGCCCCCACATGTCTACGTCACGATGTGGGAAGATTTGCATAACACCGCCCAAATGTTCACGCAAAGAAAGAAGGCGTAACTTTAATTCTCACTGTAGTGTTGTTGTTGCCCTGTGTTTCGTTCTGAAAGCGAAACTACTTTGTTTGGCCTTCCAAACGAGGACGATATCCGCTTCGTCATGCCTAGAGCTGATCCGTGCTGGTCGCTGAGGAAATACATCAACTTCGCGCTGTGGATCGCCGGATCGGCTTTCACCGTGGCCGAAGCGGAGTCCAGCCCGGGGTCATCACTTGTGGTTGCCGCAAGCCCGCCGGCCTCCGCTCACTCTAGCCACCGGCCTCCGCTCACTCAAGCCGCTGGCTCTTTTGGAAGGACACGACTAGAAATCAGTAATTAAGTTGTATTTACGACACTGTTTCAGAACAGTTCAACCAAAATATTAAGATGTGTGCTGCGCATTTTATGGAGGACTGTTTCCTGATCCTGGTAGACTACAATGCCGGCTGTTCTGACTCAAAGACTGTAAGTA